CTTCTGATGTAAACACATAAGAATGGTAATATTCTTTTCAAAGTCTGTTTTTTCCTTTTAATCATGTATTCAAGAAATATTTTCATTTTTTTGGTTACGGATTGGTGCTAGGTAGTACCTGTTGTTTTCGGTTCTTTTGTAGCAATTCAGAGGAGATATTTATTTTATTTGTTACAGCAAATTTTGGTTTAGCTTCAGCTTAGCTTAGATGAGAACCAGGCTAATGGTACCGTATCTGGCCAGCTGCAGTGTCCTGCCTTGACCTTCATTCCTTGGGTTCCTTTGTTTTATGACTCTTGAGATTAAGTGGCCTTGGTTTCCCTTTGTAGTTTTCTTTATCATCAGCACATTCATTTGTATGACATTATTTCCAAATGTGAAGATAACTGAGTTACTGTGAGTTAATGTGGCGTAGGGTTGTGCCATAAGGTTGTAAAGACCTTAGGTTTGTAGACATTTATCTGTGTTGATTAGATTCATCTTATTAAATGACATAACCACTAGTCTGTTGTCAAATCTGGATTTGTTTGTTTGAATTTAAAATGGGACTCTGTCTTCTAGTTCAGTCCTTACTAATGCTGAGGAGGAAATACCTCACTACAAAGCCAATGTCCGAAACTAGTACTTTCAGTGAAAGAAGAAAAAGCACACAAAAGTCCAGTTTAGTTCATGTTTTGTGTCACCAGGTCAGCCAAGCAAATGAGTCTGCATTTATCTCATTATATATGTGTATCATTATAATCTTCAGGTTAAAAAGATTAGGTGTGAAGTATCTGAAAATTCATTTATGCATTCATTCCACAGGTATCTATTGTAATTATGAAAGGTAATTGTGCTCAATGTATCTTAAAAAGAATGGTCACCCGTTTAATAAATAAAACAAATTGTATTTATCCAAGTATATAAGAAACACATACTTTAAATGAACAGATAATTAAGATGAAGGTATGATGTGCATTCTCTTCATGCAGGGCTTGCTTACATTGTATCTGATAAAAAAAATTCACAACCAAAATATAAAAGTGACATTAAATAATAAGAATCTAGTAATACTGAATTTACTCATTTAAAGAATTTAATACTAAAATACATGAAAGAAAAGTAACCAGAAATGTGAGGACAGAAGTGTCTATATAAATTGATAGTTTGTCTTCATAGAAGGAAACAGCATAAACAGAATTAAATGGTGACCAAGATGCGTGGAGGTACAGAATACTTCATTAAGTAACATTTGGGTTGTAGGAGATACCCTGAGTGGTAATGTTTTTAAGATAATGAAAATTCAAATTCCATACCAGAAAATGTATGCAGTGGTACCACGGCAGGAGTATAAGAAAACAGTGTTTTCAATTTCTGCCTCAGACATAAAGGTGGAAGTAAATGTTTTGTTTTTAAGGGCCCATCTAGTTACAGTTTAGAAAGGATACAAAAGAAATAAAAAATAATAAAACCAAGTACGAATGACAAAAGTAGAATAATGTAATGGATGTAAGGAATTAGTTCTTAAAAGATTAAATTGGTAAAGCATCAATTTAGTCACCAAAAGTACAAATTAGAAAATCTGTCATTGAATAGGAGATGAATCAATCAGTTGGATTTGAGAAGTGTAATCTCTCAGCTTAACGGTAGAATTGTGGTTCCTAGTATCAGATATATAAAGATATAGTATAAAACTGACATTTAATTGGAATGTATGAAGAGACTGGTTATAGGAAAGAACCCATAAGTGGTCAGAGAGTAACCAATTAAAATGTCATTTGCTTGTGATGGTTTTCCTGAAGACTTTTCCAAACTATCAAAGAACAAGTCATTCCATATACTCCCAGAATATAGAAAATGATGGTGAGGTACCCAGTTCATTTGGTGAAATAGGGTTTTTCTTTTAAAACAAAAAAGCAAGACAAATGATATAAAAAAAGTCAGATATTTTTAACATAGGTTTAAAAATCCTAATAAAATTGTAGAAAAAATCGAATAGAGAAAAATGTTGAAGATTATTCAAGTAATATAATGTTTATTCCAGGATGACAAAGTTAATATAAGAGGTGCAAATTATATTACATTAATAAGAAACAATACAATCTTACATTGATATAGTATAAACCAAAGAGGCATTTGAAAGCATTCAACTTCTATTTGTAATTAAACTGTTAAAGAGAATTTTTTTCTAAAAGAGTATGTTTTAAAATCCAAGAACAAACGTGTTTGGGAAAGGAGAATTAGAGCCACAGTACTCTAGAATATTAAAGCCATACAGGCCACAGAAGTCGGTCAGTTGTAGCCCCATGTTTTAGAGATGAAGTGACTTACCCAAGGTTATTGAGCTTGGTGGTTGGGCTTCTGACTACTAGTCTACTTCTCTATTACCTGTTACTTCCCTTATAAATAAGGAGCTCTGGGGCATAGTGGGTAAGACAGTTGGTTGCAAACCACAAGATCACTAGTTCAAACCCACCAGTTGCTCTGTGGGCAGAAGATGAGGTAATCTACTTCTGTAAAGATTTATAGCCTTGGAAACCCAGCTGGGGTCGCTAGCTGCCATCTAGATGCAACGTTGGGTCTTTCCTCGTCAAGAGCAAAGAAGAAAGAAGAAAACCAAAATTAATGGAAACAATTAGTCCTAGCAACTGGTACACCATCCAATCTGCAACCTGTACAACTATGAGACCAGAAGAACTAGATGGTGCCCAGCTACCACTGTCATCCACTTGGAAGGGATGTAGGAGATCCTGAATAGAGAGGGAAAACAATGTGGAACAAAACTCAAAATCATTTGGAGGAAAAAAAAAGGTGGGGACCAGGTTTGCTGATCCAGTAGAGCTTGGTGGAACCACTGAGACTATGGCCCCTAGCTGCCCTTCAGGTCTGGGATTGAACCCACACTTGTGGTTTCCAGCCAAACAAAGTACAGGTATGTAAGTTAAACATTTACCTCAAGTAGACAAACACCCTGCAGAGAACAATCATGGGAGAAGGAAGGGCTGCTTATGCAGAGGGAGACAGCTCAGGGGGCAGGAGAGTATGGAGGGATGGACACTGGGAAGAGGTAACTATGGGGAGGAAGTGAGAGGGGAGCTGTTGCATTGTGGTAAACTGTGGCCAATGACATGAGACCAAGTATATGTGAACTGCTGTATGGAAAGTGAATTTGCTCTGTAAATCTTCACCCAAATCACAATAAATAATAAATAAATAAATAATAATTAAAAAATATATATATATGTATATAAAATCAAAAGTAGAAGAAAAAAAAAAAGAATTGAGCCAATGATTTTTATAAAGACCACAGGTTGAAGAGCTATAATAAAGCAAACATGAGTGAACAAATGGGAAAAGAACTCATTTTCTAACCTCCTGCTCAGTCTTTCCCTTCAAAGGAAAGATGCCACTTTACCATTGAATAAGAAAATAACTGCTTTTCTAAAGAAACTAATTTTGTGGAGCGAGTATTTTGAAAGCTAATAACTATGAGTGTTTTCATCATTTTATGATTGCCGAAAACCCATGTTACCTAGAAAACATTCACTATGATATACCTGGAACTTAGAGTTCAACCTATAAATCCCAACAAAGATTGTTTCTATGGATTTGATTGGCTAAAAATATAAAAATACATCACCTTCCTGTTACGAATGACATCAGGAAAGATGGAAATTTACCAGCTGGATTCCATCAAAACCTTTTGTTATTAGCAGATGAGATAGAAAGAGGAGTGTGATTTGATAAGAGAAGGCCCTTTCTTCTATTTAGATATCCTTTCACTTGGATCTCCTTATTATCCTACTGGGTATAGAAATGCTTTTTGCAACCACAAAAGGAAATAAGACATGCAAATATAGCCGAGGAAAAATGATAAATACACATTCTGCAAGATGAAATGACTGAATACCTAAAAAACACAAATGAAAATTATAAGAGGTAAAAATAAATGTTGCAAAGTTGTTTTCCTAAGTACAGTTTAAAATAGAGAATTGCTACCTACTGTATGATTGCATTTATATGACATATTGGAAAAGGCAAAACTAGGAGGGAGAACAGATCTCTGGTTGCTTAGCAGCTGGAGGTGAGGGGAAGGGGCTTACCACAAAGGAGCCACAAGGAAAGTTTTTTGGGGCCAGAGAAGTGTTCTAAGTTTAAATGCATGCCTTTGTCAGAAATGAGGCTTGTACACTAAAGAACGTAAAATATATCTCAATAAACCTGGCTTTTAAGAAAAGATGAGGGAAAGGTGATTTCATTCCCCAAAAGAACAAACACCATTACATAGGTGGGTGTTCACTTACTTCAGAATACAAGATTTATAAAGTGAAAACTCACAGTGGCGCAATAATGGAAAGTATTAAATACCCTTTTCCTGGTTGGAAGGAGCTCTGGTGGCCTAGTGCCTAAGGCCCTTCACTGCTAACCACAATGCTGGCGTTTCAAACCCACCAGCCACTCCTGGGAAGGAAGGTTGGGCAATCTACTGCCTCGGAAACCCAAGGAAGGGTCCCTATGAGTCGGAGCTGACTTGAGGGTGTGTGTGTGTGTGTGTGTGTGTGTGTCCATCTGTCCTGTTTGGAAAGACTAAAGCAACCAAGTAGCCAATGGGCCTAGCGGAGCCAGAGAGGCCACGTGAGGACAGACAAAGCATTCGACTGCACTGGGCGCCAGGCTGGGAGCGTGGTTGGTTTCCTGGCCAGGCCCGGGGCGCCGGGATCCAGCACGAACCCGGCGCGGGCACGGTGACCACCGCACAGGGGATCAGGCCTGCCTGCCCCAGGGCAGGGTCTCGGGAGCGCGGGACTGTCTGCGTGAGATCCAAGTCTATTCCGAGACGGAGGAGACAGTGAGTGCGTGCGCCCTTCTTCCTGCCCCCGGACAAGTCGCAGCTCGCTGCCACGTTTGAGCGCAACTGCCCCCGCCCTCCCCGATCTGCCGTGAGACATTCGCCCCCCCGGCCCTGCCCTGCCGAGTGCCCCCTACTCTCCAGCACCCCTCCATTGCGGCCCCCCCCCCGCATGCTCATCCTTCAGCACCCCTGCTCTTTCACCCACCTTTCCCCCTTCTTGGCAGTGGCCACACCCCGCGACGCCGAGATCCGGAAGGACGTGCAGGTGAGAGTTGCAAGATCTGGGATGGCCCAAGTGGGGCCTCGGCTGGCGGGAACCCTAGGCTTATGGAGGCCTGGACCCCCAGATTCCTGGTGAGGGGCAGAGCCGTATCTGTGATTAGAGCTCTGAGGGAGCAAAGCCTGGCCTGGGGTGGGGAGTGGGTCGCACACTGAAGCCTTCACGCTGCCAGCGCCAGCCCCAACTAACTCTTCTTTGTCCTCCCTCCCCCTCCCCCTGTACACGGCCACTGGGTCAGACCTACTACGGGCAGGTGGTGAAGAAATCGGCCGACCTCCAGGCCACTGCCTGTGTCACAGCAGCCAGGCCAGTTCCCAAGCACATCCGGGAAGCCCTGCGGAGTGTACATGAGGAAGTGGCCTTGAGGTAGAGTGCCCTGAGCAGCCCCCAGGGCTTGAAGACACCTGTTGGCAGCTTTATTATTGTCCAACTCGCAAGGACAGCACTGATCATTTTACTGCCCTGCTTCAGACCCCCAGTGACCCCCATTACTCCCAGGAGACATGCATACTCCTTGGATCTGACATTCCAGACTGCCCTGACCATCCTTCAGGGCCTCGGGGATGTCCTACCCACTTCATGAAGGCTTCTCCAACCTGAGTACCCCTACCCCAAACTGCTGCAGCACCTCCTGTCCATGCCAGAGTTTGTTAAGAAATCAAGCAAGATGTTTTCTGTGCTTATGTTTTCTCTCCTCAGATAGAGTAAATACACCTAGGAGACAGACTTCTTGTCTTATATTCCCTCCTCAGTGACTCACACAATTGGGGGCCTGAATTTTTTTTTTTTTTTTTTAATTTTTATTGTGATTTGGGTGAAACTTTACAGAGCAAATTCATTTTCCATACAGCAGTACGTCTCATGACATTGACCGCAATTTCCCACAGTGCAACAGCTCTCTTCCCACTTCCTTCCCATGGTTACCTCTTCCCTGTGTCCTTCCCTCCCATGCACTCCTGCCCCCTGAGCTGTTTCCCCATGCATACACAGCCCTTCTATTCTCCCATGATTGAGCTCTCCAAGGAGTGTATCTACCTAATGTAAATGTTCAGCTCATATGCCTGTCTTTTGTTTGGCTGGAAGCCACAGGAGTGAATTCAATTCCAGAGCTGAAGGGCAGCTAGGGGCTATAGTCTCAGGAGTTCTACCAGCCTGTATCAGACCAGCAAACCTGGTTGGGCCTGAATTTTTTTGATGCTCAGTTAATAACTGAATTTATTCAACAAATATTTTAGATGGTTTATTAAGTCTTAAGGAGCTCTGGGGGCGTAGTGCCTAAGGCATTTGACTGCTAACCAGAAGGCTAGTGGTTCAAACCTACCAGCGACTCCTCGGAAGGAAGGTTGGACAATCTACTTCCATAGTGATACCGCCTCAGAAACCCAAGGAGGGGTTGCTATGGGTTGGATCCGACTTGAGGGCAGTGGGTATTAAGTCTTAATACCCATCACATTGCCCAACAGTACAGTGGTGAACAAAGCAGATATTGTCCTAGCTTTCACAGAGTGTCCAATTTAATGGAATAGACTAAACTATAAATATAAATATGAATGAATGATTGAAGGAAGGAAAGAAGGAAGAATTGATAAGATGTAATGGGTCTACATCTTCTTGTCTCTAGGGTGAAATGAATATATATGTTTCTTCCATTCCCCAGGTATTATGGCTGTGGTCTGGTCATCCCTGAGTGCCTGGAAAACTGCTGGATTTTGGACCTGGGCAGTGGAAGTGGCAGAGATTGCTATGCACTTAGTCAGCTGGTTGGTGAGAAGGGACATGTCACTGGAATAGACATGACAGAAAGTCAGGTGAGGCAATGATTTGGAGGGCAAGAAGAAAAAAATCCCAAAAAGCATTCTTTCAGAGATAAAATTCTTTTCTTTGTGAGTCTACAAGGATGATTTAAGGACACTGTGCGTCAGCAGTGCTCATTGTGTCCCTAGTGCTTCTGTCCTGGAAGCTGAGAGCTTTGATGATTAAGGGACTCCTCCTGGAGAACACAGGAGTCAGAGGTTTGAGTTGATACGTGAATATCATGGAGAACTTAATGGATTTTGATCATTTCCCTCCTTCTGCCATCTATCTTGAAAGATTTCGTTAAATGGGAGTTTGTTCAAGCAAAACCTTTGTACCAAGCAGGAAGTTAATGGCCCACTCGCACTGTCCTGAGCTGTAGTCCATAGTACACTTGGAGGAACCCTGCATGCTTATCCAAAATAGTCTGAGGAAAGGGTATTCCATTAATAATAGGAAAATTTTAGGGGAAAAATGGTAAATTAAAAATATTGACTACTAAATCTTTATTTTTCTTCCTTTAGGTGGAAGTGGCCAAAAAGTACATTAATTATCACATGAAAAAGTATGGCTTCCAGGCACCCAATGTGACTTTTATTCATGGCTACATAGAGAACCTGAGAGAGGCTGGAATCAAGAATGGGAGTTACGATATCGTTATGTAGGTCTATTTCCTTACTGTTATGAACACAGCCCATTTCGTATTGAACACACAGATATCACCATTTTTGCTGAATTAACTCTTACCTAGGGTGTTAAAAAAGGAGATCTGTGGAATAGTGGTTAAAGCACTTGGCTGCTAACCAAAAGGTTGGTGGTTCAAACCTACCAGCAAGAAAAAGATGAGGCAGGAAAAGGATGAGGCAGTCCGCTTCCACAAACATGTACAGCCTTGGATACCCTATGGGGCAGTTTTACTCTGTCCTTTAGGGTTAGTATGAGTTGGAATCGACTCAGTGGCAGTGGGTCTGATGGTATTAAAACTACACTTGGCACATCTTGGTAAAGGGAGGGATATGGTCTGAGCTGTTTGTAGCCCATTAGCAGGAGAACATACTAGTCCAAGAGAGAGTGTAACTTAATACACCAGTGATCCCGAAAGGCCTCTGAGCCTGCTCATACAATCCATACTGTTATCTTCAGTATTATTTTCATGGCAAAGTCTAGAATTCTATGTTTCTCTTTTTCCTCTGAATTGGAGTCAGATCATGGCCAAGTGACAGCCTTAGTAAAACCACCTCTCAGGAACATAGCCTGTTTACATGTGGGAGAAGAAATACCTTGTGTAAGAGGAGTCTTGTCCTAAGAATCTTGTGTGGTGGGTACCAGGCCAGAAACAAGTAAGAACCATGCCTAATTTTTGGGGATAGTCATTCCTCTTCGCATCTCCCTTACCTTGGGAAAAATGAGTGTAGGAAGACAGGAGAGAGGCAAGAAGAGTGGTATGACTTTGAGAAAATGGTGGGAGCTCATTTTCCTCTGGGACTGAGAGGATTTCAGGATCACCGGCTAGCATGTGGGATCCTTGGTGGTGCGAATGATTAATGAGCTTAGCTGCTGACCTAAGGGTTGGGGGCTCGAGTCCACCCCTAGGTGCCTTGGAAGAAGGGCCAGGTGATGTATTTCTGAAAAATCAAGCCACTGAAAACATGGAGCGTGGTTCTACCCTGACACCTGTGGAGCCACCAAAGTTAAAATGAGCTCTGCAATGATCAGTCTACAGATTTGTTTGACATTCCATCTGTTCTTTTCAGATCAAATTGTGTTATTAACCTTGTGCCTGATAAACAACAAGTGCTGCAGGAGGTATATCGAGTGCTAAAGGTGAGGGAAGAGTAAGAGCAGTGACCTTTAAGTACTGTTAAACATTAATGAGGCTGATGGGCTCCCTCCTGTTCTTGCCTCCTTGAGCTGAGAGTGCAAATTCTTCTAATGTATCCACTAAATTAAAAAGAGGTGTCAAAAGGGAGGGCGGCATGCGTGACAGGAGTACCCTACATGCGATGCTTTTCCCTCTCAGGCTGCAAAAGATAGTAAATCTGAGAGTCATGATTGGTATTGAACATGTTGAAATATTTGCTTTACTGGCTGGCATTGCTGCACAGGATCCTAGGCCGGCTTCTGCAGAGTTGCAGAAAACTTTGAACTGGCTACTAAAAGTTGCACTCAACACCCCCTCTTCTAGTACACACACTGTTTCTCAAGGCTACTTATTTCATGTCTGTCAGGATTCCAGATCTTTGGAAAGCTAAAGGAGATGGAACTTAAGCTACTTTCTCAAAGGCAAACTTGCCAGAGCTCCAAGTCTTTCATGTGTATTGTGAGATGTATATCTTCATGTAGAAGATCCAAGACTACAAAAAAGTTTGGGGAAAAAAGTGCAGTGTGGAGGGGGAGAATTAGCCATAATTCCATTGTCTGTCGATAATGAAGTTATTCCTAAACTGTTTACATCTTCTGTTAATTATACAACCCCCTGGACTGCATTTGGTTCTGATTGGCTAACAATTTAGGTAACCTGAGTATCTTTACTTAGAAGAGAGACACTCTTGGAAAGCCATTTTATTCTCCATTTGATAGGGATCTCAAAAAAAAAAAAAAAAAAAAAAAAAAACTCTTGGCACTTGGCTGTTGATTGTAACTAGACTGGCACATGAGGGACGCAGCTGTGACTTGCACACAGCACTTCCCCTTGTTTTTCACCACTGATTTTGTTCCTCCATCCCTTCCTTTACTTTCTGGGACTATGACCATCTTTGCCTTTACTTGGACTGACACTGTTTCATTTCAGCATGGCGGAGAGCTGTATTTCAGTGATGTCTATGCCAGCCTTGAACTGCCAGAAGAAATCAGGACACATAAAGTTTTATGGGGTAGGATTTATTATTATTATTTTTTTAAGGCAGCTTCTCATTTATGTACAAAGTTCCATTCTGCTAAAAGCCTAGGTGAGGGTAAGTGGTATGGGAATCCATGGGATGAGGTCAAGAGGCTTCAGTTCTGTTTCTCTTCTGCCACCAAGAGGGTATGATCTTGGACAATTTAATCAATCTCTCAGTCACTGTTTTCCAAACTGTGAAATGGAGATAATAATACCACCTGCTTTATAATCTGTTATGTAGATTAAATGGAATAATGAATATGAGAAATATTTTGAAAACCATAGTGTGGAAATGTGGGCAACTGTTCCAGAACTTAATTTCCTTATATTCTCATCATTATTGTGTTGTTTATGCCTTCATCATCATTTTAATGATATCTCTGAAGGTTGAGATAAATGCATGTGTGTTGTCAGTCTATGAAATGAGAACTTTTTACTTTTGAAATAAATTAGGTTAACTTTGTTCTTATTATACAATAATAAATAGATATTGTTAAAAACTTGGAAAATACAACAATAACCAAAACCACCTTATAACCAAGATATACCCTCTAACATGTTAGTATATCCCTTTCTAGTTTTTTATCCTGTGTATGTACATCACCAAATTGGGAGCATGTTTTATGTAGAGCTTAGTATCCTAATTTTGTTTACTTAGCATATTTCCTAATGATTTTGGAAACATGTTTTAATGCTTGTGTTACCCAGCTGTGTTGTATAGCACATGCCATCCAATTTCTGTTTTTTTTTTTTTTTTTTTACCATTTTTTTTTTTTTTTTTTTTACCATTCTTCTCTTGGTGATCATGAGGTTATTTCCAATTTGTTGAGGTAATAAATAAAACTATCCTTGTACTTAAAAAAAAAAAAAAACCTTGTAAAATGTCTTAGGAACACTAGTGGTTATTGCTGTGGTAGGTCTCTGTCAGAGACACCCAGAGCTAAGAAGCAATTTCATAATTTGCCTTTTATACCTGTTTAATTCACAAAGCAAAGAGAGAAAAGTTTTGCAGAATGTGACCTAATGCATACATAAATCTCATGATCACAGCTGGGGAACCAATACATCAGGGACCGTTCTGAAGAGTGGTTCCCAGAGACTGTTGGTTAGCATCCTCAGTTTAACATGACTTACTAGGCCTTGGGGGGATGCCAGGTTAGCTTCTGTTTCTGGGACCTGTGTTTTAATTGCAGGCATTGGGGGTTCAGTGGTAGCATTCTTGCCTTCCATACAGTTCTCCTACGGCCAGCACACCTCATGCGCAGGGGCCACCCATCTGTCAGTGAGGCCTCAGTGTACTGTGATGCTGACAGGGTTTTAGTGGTGCTTCCAGACTGAAACGAACTAGGAGGAAAGATCTGGTGATCTTTCCTTCCAAAAACCAGCCAGTAACCTATGGATCCCAACAGTTCAATCCCCAGCCCATCATGGGGATGGGGATGGGCAGTGTTGTTCTGCCTCAATGGCAGCTATCAACAACAGGCTTTAACTACTGCCTTGTTTAATTATATAGAAGAGTAACTCCCTTAATACTTGGTGTCTTGGTTGATTGGTCTGTAACTTTACTTTTTTAGGTGAGTGCCTTGGTGGCGCTTTGTACTGGAGGGACCTTGACATCCTTGCTCAAAAAATTGGGTTCTGCCCTCCACGTTTGGTGGCTGCCAATCTGATTACGATTCAAAACAAGGAACTAGAAGGAATTATTGGTAAGAAACAACAGCAGAACTATTATAACTGCAACCCCACCGGTTCAAGTTCTGTGATTAGTGTGTAGTGAGTGAGTCTAACTGAGGGAGACTTCATGTCTTCTAGAAGTTTCCAGCTTGTCTCCTGTAAAATGGCAGCCCCCCCATAAGTTTAGTATTTAATAAAGCACTTGGAAGTCATTCAGTAAATAGAGTGAGGTGCCTGGAAAGATATTTGATGACATGTGTTCTGGTTACCTAGTGCCACTCTGGCAAGAATATACCACAAATGGGATGGCTTTAACAAACAGGAGTTTATTCTCTCACAGTTTGGAGGCTCTAAGTCCAAGCTCAAAGTGCCAGGCTCTAGGGGCTGTGTGAAAGCCCCTTGACCTTGGGTTTCAGCTCTGCCTCTTGCGTCCAGCCCACTGAAGCTAGAGGCATCTCTTCACTCAGGCAGCTAGTGGCTGCTAAGGCTAACAAGCCCAAGGTTGACAAATAAAATGTCACAGTCCCGGTGTTACCAAGCCACATAGCAGGCCATTAATTCCATTGTAAGTCCCAAGGTAGGCAGAGCATGGCAGGCTGCTGAATAATGACCCAGCTTCATACAGGGTCCAAAGGTACTATAAGCTACAGAGAATTCCCCAAGGCTTCTCCTTATATACAGGAAGCAGACCACATCCCTAAGGCACCTACTCAGCTGCTCACAGTAGATTCCACCATGGAGTTGATTACCAGTCTCATCATGGGGAATACTACATCCAGCTGCCCAGCCACTCAACCAGGCCCAGCCAAGCTGACACACAAACTTAACTACCACAACATGCGAGCAATATGATATGTTTGCTGAGCATGTGCGTGACCCACCATTAATGACTGCTGGAGCACTGGAGATGAACCGTGAGTCAATTTTATTTACAGGTGACTGTCGCTTTGTTTCTGCAACATTTCGCCTTTTCAAACTCCCTGAGACAGGACCAGCCAAGAGATGCCAGGTTATTTACAATGGAGGAATCACAGGACACGAAAAAGAACTAATGTTTGATGCAAACTTTACATTTAAGGTAAATAAGAATTTCCAGGAGTTCTGGCATACTTTGTATGCTTACCCTTGTCCTGGTCACTTTTTTTGACCTTGCATTGCTTTTCCCTTGTCAGGCACTGATTTGTTCATTGTGTGTGTGTGTGTGTGTGTTTTAAGTGGAATGGGAAGGCATGTTTTTTTTCTCCCCAATATTTATTATAAAAGTGTTTTAAAATACAGAAAAGTTAAACAGAATGTACACTAACTCCCCATTACATATTTCAGCAACTGTGAACATTTTGCCATATTTACTTTATCAGTATATGTGCATATTCATATATTTTTTTCTTTCAGCATATATATGTATGTATATCTATATAGCTATCTTATATTTGTTTTGTTATATATATTTGCTCAACTTACTTGAAAATAAATTGCAGACATCATGACCTTTTATCCTAAATTCATTTCCCAAGAATAAAGCATTCTCCTGTATAACCAAAAAACTCTTATCATACCTAAGAACATTTTTCATTCAGAAACCTCATCCAGACATTGGATTAATAGAACTACAGAGAAGTGATTTGGAAAAGAGAAGAACTACTGTGTAACAATGTGCCAGTTGTTTAATTATATCATGAAATGAAGGAACTGGTAGTGTTTAATGATGACATTCATTGGTATTTCTGCTGCTCTGAAGTCTCTTATATCTCAAAATGGAAAAAGCATAGGCTTTGGCATCAAATGCCTGGATGCAAATTCTAGCTCTGCCATTTATTACCCGGGTAAACTTGGATAAGTCACTCAAACTCTTTGAGATGCAGTTTACTCCACTGTAAAAGTAGGGATAACAATACCTACCTTGCAGAATTTCTCTAAAGATTAATAGTAATATAGCAAAAACACTTGGTAAAAAGTAGGATCTCAGTAAATAGTAGATAAAATAATTATTTGTTCCAGTGTTGGAAGAACTTAACTATTTCCCTCTTCTGATTTTTTTTTTTTTTTTTTTTGGGTCCAAATAGCATCTTCAGATTTCTCACACACTCCCTGGTGCAGTGGGGCCCTCAGTGCCTTTTCACTGATGCATCACCCCTTGATGTACTGCCTGGTCCAGCAGGTTCATACAGCCCCTGTGGGTAGGGCCTTAGAGAGCAGAAATTTGGCCCAGTGGTTTTCAAAAAAAGATTTTTAACTGCAAAGTTATTTAAAAAAAAAAAAAAAAATCACCAAAATCTTATTTTAAATGCCCTTGTTGTGGTAGTTAAGGTTGTGTGCCAACTTAGCTGGGCCGTGGTTTTGAGTGGCTTGGCAGCTGGATGAAGTTACTGCCTGTGATGAGATTATAATCACTCCCCTGGTGGAATCTGCTGTGAGCAGCCCCGTAGTTGAAAGGGAGTTAACTTTGGGGTGTGGCCAGCTTCCGGTACATATACAACAACTTTGGGAAAGGTCTCCAGCTTTTCGGCATGTTCTGGATCCTGTGTTTGGCTGAGTCTTCGTCTCCATTTCCTGGACTGGAACCAGCAGCCTGCTGTGTTGCCTGAGGATCTTGGGTGCATCAGCCTCAGCAGCCAGCAGCTGCCTGAGTTAGGAGAAGCTTTCAGTTCCAGTGGGACTGGGACAAGAGGCAGAGCTGAAGCCCAAGGTGTAGGGGCCTTCAGCCAGGCCCTAGAGCCAGCACTCTGAATTTGGACTTCTAGCCCCTAAACTGTAAAAGAATAGATTCCTGTTTGTTAAAGCCATCCACTTGCAGCATTTCTATTATAGCAGCACAAGAAAATAAAACACGCTATCATAATATATGATTTTTATTCAACACTTACTATTGCTTCATATAATTCTAGTAGATGAAGAGATATGTTGTTGTTGTTGTTATGTGCCATCGAGTCGGACCCAACTCATAGCGACCTCTCCTTGGGTTTCTGAGGCAGTATCACTACAGGAGTAGATTGCCCCATCTTCCTTCCGAGGAGTGGCTGGTGGGTTTGAACCACCAGCCTTCTGGTTAGCAGTCAAGTGCCTTAGCCACTACGCTACC